TTTACTCAAGTCCAATACTTCAGACGATATTAAAATGGATCAATATGGTCAAATGTTGCATCGATATCGAATACTGCAAAATAAAAGACATGCACGAACCATACCCGAGACAACAAACAACAAACATGACGACATCGCTTCCGTGGAAAAACCTGATATTTTATCTTCGGTACCTAAAACATACCAAGGCCGAGCTCGTATGTTATTAGAGCATTTGGAAAAGAAAACACCCTACTCTTGGAATCACAAGTACGAATTGACCCATGGCGGTGAGGTAATGAAAGGCACGAACGTAGTGGATATCGTCAATGATTTCATTCGTAACCGCAAGACAAATATTACCCCTTTTGGTTGGGAAGCCGTCATGAGAAGTTTGAGAGAATCAAATATACCTCGAGAAGCCATTGGAAACGATCGTCGATGGGAATTGTTTTCGACACCTCAAACACAATCATCTCCGTCCACTTTTGAAACGCCCAAGAAACGCACAAGTAAAAAGCAACAGAGAAAATGGCTATCTTTTGACAGCCTATAAAAGAAGCTCACAAACATTAACATAGTGGTAGATGTCGATAGATGATGCTGTCAGTGTCAAAGTAACACACTCTGTTTCCTAAGGGTTCCAACACACTGTATAGTTTTAAACGTGCTTGGGCTGTCACAAAAGCAGCAATCACTACATTGGTGATAGAACATGGTTGAACGTGTTTCTTCAATTTTTCAATCATGACCATGTTATCGTTGACGATTTGAACATCTTTGACTGTTTCTGTTGCATCATTCATCAGCTGAAAATATTCTGAAGGATCCGTGATGTATTCTGTTTGACTAAAGTTGTCTCTTTGTCCAAATTTTCCCCAAAGTGTGTTCAGTATCGATTTCGAAAACGCACGACGTCCTTTATTCGGTTTAATTTGGTCCGGATCCAGTGTTACTCCTTCTTTCCTGAAAACTTCTTCTATGAAATTACGTTTATCTTCATCTGTGCGACAGTTGTCTGGGTATCCACTGCTCTCCATTTTCATTTTTAGGTAACGATTGATATAGTCAGTAAATAATCCACCCGTCTTGGTTTCGGGATCATACTGACTCCATTGATTCCAATGCCATACTTCGTAGATATCCAGAATTCGGTAACCCATCTCCACTTCTTTTTTCAGTTCCAATGTCACAAAAGTACCTACCCAAGCTCTTTCTTTCTCACTGTGATTACACGATCGATAAACGGCAACATCATCTTGTTTCATGTGATCTTGTACACAAGTCCTGCAGAGTGGAAAGTGAGTTTTTCATTTCTGAT